TGTGTGTGTGTGTGTGTGTGTGTGTGTGTGTGTGTGTGTGTGTGTGTTATTTTTTGATAGTTTCAAGCACACAGAATGAATTTTAGTCATTTCCATGCCATGGTTATCTTCTTTTATCCCTCCCTTATGCCCCCCACCCACCCCCTGAAATCCTTTTTATTCCCAAGTCCCCCTTTGTCTTTCATAGCCTTCTTTTGTCAACAGCCCAGTGAGTTTAATCAGGTTGACTACATAGGACTTACCTTCCAATTTTGTTTGACTTGAATCTGTTTTACTCTTCAAGGTTACTAAATCAGACATAAGTTCAGAACTCTTTTCACTGGACACCAGAGTGTCTTTCAAATGGATAGTTTGAATGGGCTATACAAAAAGCATAGAAAGATTTCAAATAAGATAATGTACCATAAATAGCAGTAGTACTAATTGGTCTTAACTGTTAAATATAATACAGTTTTATCTATGTGAAAAGATTGCTTGTAAAGCTATCTCTCATATTTGTAGGCTTACAAACTCCCAGAAAATATTAACTTCCTAAATTACTGATTACAACATCAGGAAAGGTCATAACCATTAACTTGACAAACATGCTTTGAGTGGACATATTAATATTACTTAAATTTTACACTATACATCACTCCAAAAAAAAAGGTTAGAAAATGTAGGTCCAACATAGAATAAGCCTGATGATAAGATGTAAGTATCTTGTTTACCCACACGATTCTAGTCTTTAGTTAGTATGTGCTTATGGATTTTGCAGTGCTGGGAATTGAACTCAGAGCCTCATATATGATAGTTATGTGCTCTACTACTGAGCCAAATCCCCTGTCCAAATTGTACTATGTTATCAAAATAATAGCATTAGTAAAAATTGGCATTTATATAACCTCAAGGCAGTAGTTATTATAAATTGAGAGGGTATAATTTTTTGATACAATTAAGTACCATTCCCTAAAAGTAGAGACAATTATAATTTTAAAGAATAGATCATGAAATCTTATAATGTTGAAAATTCACACTGCAATGCCAGGGATTTAAGCCAAGTACCAAGAATATTAGAATTCCTACAAACTACTGTATCTGGAACTAGTCACTTCCTGTGCAAAGCTGACAAAGGTGGAGGCATAACAGATTAACTTTAATATTTATGCTTCCACCTCTGCAATAACATATACTCTGGGTTTAAAGATGGCTTGCTCAAAACTGTGTCAGTAAACATATCAATAAACAAAACCTGGGGAATAGCTCCCCTGCTGATTCTCAGACCCAGGCCTACTAATCCATTTAAACACATGCCTAATTAATGTACCTCATGCTTCTTCTAATATTTGCTCTAACACCTTAATCTTTGAGAAACAGTCCAGGACTTCTGTGCCACCTCTCAGCAGTAGACTCAAACTTCCTGTGGCTTCAGCAACACTTTGAAGACAGATAAACACTAGATCCTTTCCCTAAGGAAAGCTCAGTGAGTTCTAGACCAGGAACCTTTGCTTCACATACATTTAAAATTGTAATACCTTTAAACCTCTCAATTCATAGGAATCATTTCCACTTGATTTGGATCCAGGCATAATCGAATCTCGGTATTCTGATCCAGATACCTTTCTATTACCCATGAGACAAAAAGATTTTAACAGTTAACATGAAATTGTTTCATTCTTCATTTTAAAACTGGCTTTCAATATACATAACTAGTACATAAATACTTTGAAATGGAAGCATCTCTTTAAAAGTGACATAATTCTAATGTAAAGGTGACTATGCTTAAAAATGAGGTACTGAGCAATGACAAAATGATGAGGAGATAGATGACTGCCAGTGTCTTCATTACCTAACCAGTTACAGCTGGAGCTAAAATAAGAATGTGGGAAAGAAAAGTATGTAGATGAAACTCCATTTCAGGTTGCACACAGATCAAGGATAAAAACATGTAAAGAACTGCATGTGGACCTCTACAGTCCGGCATATAGTCTGTCAGAAAAAGCTGAGTGAACCTTGAGGGATGGGAGGGTTTAAAAAAAATACATTTTAAGAGTGGGGAAAAAAAAAAATCTCCAGTACGCTTCAACTAAGTATTTGAAATGGAGGTCCAGAATAAGATAACAGCATCAACTAAAATAGTTTGTTTTTTTTAATATTATTAGCACATACCACCATATTGAGCACATTTCCATTTCTTATTTGGGTGCAGACATTCAAATTGACAGTAGGGGACTATATCGAATGAGAATGATCCTTTGCTACTTATATCTATCTATCTATCTATCTATCTATCTATCTAGACATAGACATATTTAATATATATAAACATAACATATATAACACACACACACACACACACACGCACACACACACACACTTAAGATATAACGTCTGCTTACCATATGGCCAGGGTGATCCCAGCAACCCCTAGATTTAAAAGATTTTCCTGACTCAGCCACCCTGCTAGGTCTGCACCACATCACTTAGCAGCCAATTAACTTATTCTTTTTTTTTTGATGCTTAAGAAACCCAGTAACTTCTACTAACAAAGAAAGACTTAGTTATGCCAAGCCTGGTGAACACAAACACCCATAATTGCATGAGGCACAGATTATGGCTGCGGTACAAAGGTTAAGGCTAGCCTAGAAAAATTAGTGCAATCTGATCTCAAATACACAAACAGTAAAGAGAGGAACACGGATGTACGTCAATGGGAGAGAACTTGCAAAGATATGGCCCTGGGCTTAGTACATAAAACTACCAAACAAAATAAATTAATCCTTAGTAAAAAAGTAAGATTCAGACAAGAATCTTTATATAAAAACAAATTTTAAAAACCCAAACTGAAACATACCTTTTTGTAAATTGTGGCACAGCTGAACCATCTGTCTTCACATAGTAATCTGGGCTGTTTAGCAGATTAACTGGGACTCTTCCAAAGGGGCATGACTAGAAATGATTTGAAAGGTTAAGTAACCAACTGGGACACAAAAAGAATTCACTACCATCACCTTTCTCAAAGTAGACTCAAAACAACGTACCCGTTTAGTTTTGTTAGTCTGCTTTAAGGGATTTCGATGACTGACTTCTGCATCTTGCGGAGGCATGTTCTCTCTGAATAGAAAGAATGTTGCTGTGATGTTTTCAGAGAATACTATTAATAATGTATCTTCTTTTTACTGCTAACTGTAGTTATTACACTAGTGTGAGGATATCAAAGATAATCATGTAAAGACCTGAATGCATTTTCTTACCCATATAAAATCCTGGCTGCAGCAGCCTGTCCTCTAGAATCACAACTCATGTTCCTATTCTGTAAATTTCCAAGAGAACTGGAGATTGATTCTTGGGCAGTTAGTACTGTAGATGCTGTAAAAATTTCACAACTATGATTAAATTTACAAAAAGAGTAATTTTACAAATAGGAATATTTTAAAAGACAACTTATGATAGGTAAGAATCTCCATGAGGGACATGGAAGCATGACAACATCTGTCATCAATACACTTCTTTCCAACTGTCCCTTTAAATCCTCTCCACACATACAGCTTTGTCCCCAGGGCAAAAGTCTGTCCTTCACTAAGAGCAAAAGACTAAGGTCCTAATGACTTTGACCAAGTCATTGTTAAGGAGTTACGAACACAAGGTTAATGTAGTAAGGATCTTTGTTTCTGAACAGCTTACTCCTATACACCTACAACTTAACTTTAAGTTTCTTTTTTTGTTTAAGTTTTTAAGCATTATACCTAAATAAATTTTTTTTCTTTAAAGTATCCTGAATCTGAATTTTACCACTTCTGCAAAGCACAGTACACTTTAATAACAACCTGATAAACTCTTTTTGTCCTCCTCTGAAAGCAGCTGCTTCTTCTGGAGGTGTAAGTTATGGATGGCAATCTCCAACATCTGCAGCGGCACCGCCCCAGTCTCCACAGCTTTATAAAGAAGCTGCTCACATTTTTTAAGATTGCCTAAGAGAGGAAAAATACTGTTACTTGATGCAGCATCCTTTGCTCACTATTCCCAGCTTTTTTATTCATTAGGACCTAGTGGAAAGATTAGACTTACTCATATTATTGCATAAGGAAATAATTTCTCACTTATCACATATCTAGTTTACTCCTCTATACTAATTCCTATTCATCACTGAAAACTATTTAGAAGTTTAATACATTAGTGTGTGTGTGCACACACACGCACACACACACTACAGCAATTAGAAGCATCTTGAGTACACTCCATATAAAAGCATTTGTTATAACATACTATTCATAGTAACATTTAATCAAGACTGAAAATTTGCTAAGAACACTTCTAGCAAGAGGATTTACTAAATCAAAACAAAAAGTTAAAGGGCTAAGTAGCATCTGCTGTTAGACTGATCTATACCACTACCAAAATACAAAATAACCAAGAAAGTTTATTCAACCACAGACATTACCAAATTTTCTTTCAAATACAAACTTCATCTCTAGTAGTTGGTAAATAGTCAATGTGTACATCATGTAGCACATAGGATGTTATCAACAGTCTTGGAATTCATGGGCTACAATGCTATGTATATGACATTTAGGATATAGAGAATATCACATAAGAAAAAACACTTCAAGACCTAACCACAGGAAACGACTCTCTGAATAGAGCCCTACTTGCTCAGAAAATGAGACCCAAACTGGCATGTGACATTAGAAAACTTCTGTACAACAAAGGAAATAGTTAATCAAGTCGAGAACATGGGTGTTCTTTGCCAGTTATGCATCTAATAGGGGCCTAATATCTAAAATATATAAAGAGCTTAAGAAACTAAGGAACAAGAAAACAACCAAATCAATAAATAAGATAACAAAAAGATAGTCATAAAGGAAAAAATACAAGTGGTCAATAAACACACAAAAACTGTTTAACTTCACTAGCCAAAGACAATGCAAATCAAACTACATCAAGAATCCATCCACTTTACTCCAGTCAGTATGGGAGTCATTAAAAAAATTATATATATATATATCAAACAATAAATGCTAGTGCAAATGTGGACAAAAGAGAATTCTTATGCATCACTAATGAAAATATAAACTAGTCCAACCTCTGTGGAAATAAGTACCAAGTTTTCTCAAAACACCAGAAACAGATCTAACAACTCTGCCTCTCCTGGATATTTACTTATTCAAAGGACTGCAATTCAATGTATCACAGATATACCTCACATCAGGTTTACTGCAGCACTATACACAGAGCACCCACACGGAAGCTCACAACCATTTACCAACTCCAGGGGCCAATGCCTGCTTCTGACCGATGTGGGAGCCAGGTACGTACATGGTTTAAGTACATACATGCAGGCAAAATACTCATACAATAAAAAGAAGAAACTATTCACAACAGCTAAGCTGTGAAGCCAATATAGATATCTAACAAAAATGGATGACAAAAATGTAGTAGATATGCACAATAAACTATTTTCAGCCACAAAAAATAAAGTTATGACCTTTGCAGGAACATGAATACAACTAGAGACAATCATATTAAGCAAATTAGGCCAACCTTAGATAACCTCTTTTTTTTCCTCTTTTATGGTTCTATATTTTATACTGTAACACAAAATCATATATATATTTAATTGATATATATACATACATATATATATATATATATATATATATATATATATATGTATACACACACACACACACACACATACATATATATATATTTCACCTCTACTTGCATATATACATACATATATTCAGGTAGAATTTAGTGAAATTGTATAGAGTAACCATGGTGATTAAAGAGGGAAGGAAGAATTAAGAGTTCCTGAAAGAATTAAGGTGCAGGAGATATGCTCAACATCCAATATATGTCCATAAGAAAAACTTAAAAACTAAAAATGATAGTTAGTAAGAGATAACCTCTAGTTACTCACAATTTACAATTTTAAAGAATATATGGTAATATTGAATCCATATGTTTACTAAGAATAGTGACTGAGAGAAGTACTAGTAATTTAAAGTCTTATTAACTCAGGTCAAAAATCCATTAGAGACTCGATAAAAACTTTGGACTACCCTTCCCCTCTAAATGCATACAGCAGTCAGTGCGCAGCCTCAGGGAGCTGCATTAGCATCCATCCTGTTCAGAACAATCACCATTTTGATCTAATGGTTACTGCCAAACTTCAGTGATTTAGTTGTTTTTATAGTCAGTTCAATTTATTTGTTCCAAGATCTAAGAATTACAGTTACCATTGGAAGGGTCTTAAAGGCCTGACCAGACCTGCCATAAGAAGCAAGAATCAATTTTTCTAGGAGAGAAATGTATGCTTTATACATACACAGCTGACTATATATTAAATTACTAGGATTTAGGAATCCCATAGGTAAACTCGGCATTCTCAAACCATGTCTGCATTATACAGTATTTTCCCTACCTCAATCCTGGGGAGCAGCTTGCACTGCACAAACCTTACTTTCGGAGCTATCAGAGGGACGCTGCTAGCAGTGGTAATGCTCAACTGGTTAGTACATGAAATCAGAATAGCAGCACAAATAAGCAGAGGAATAAAAGACTAGGCAGAGGATACTCTGAGGGTGTAGCCAAAGATCTCCAGAAAAAGCAGAGGGGCACCAGCCAAAGGGCTAACCAGGGAAAAGATGTCCTGGCCTTAACTAAAAAGGTAGACTATGACGAATCACATAAGCAAGACAACATGTGGCTATGAAGCCACAGCCTAGACAAGATTACCTAAGTGCCAGCTAAAATGTCTTATCTTTTATTCTACAAATACTAAATAGGAAAAAACATTCCTTGAGATGTATCCTGAGTAAAGGACACAAATGCAATGTTTGTACTAACTCCCACAGAACACTCCTTATGAGTATAGAGACAGTACAGCGAATTCTCTGGACTTACACTATGCAGCACTCTCGTCCCATGGTCTCATCTTATCAATTGTAGTATTTTTGCTTTAATATTTCACTTCAAATCTATGATTCAATATTAATGTTATAGTAGAATGTGCTTTCACTTAAGATGTAAATGTGATTTTCAGATTACCTTGAGACAGTTCAAACTGTGCAAAAGATACATGCACAAAAGCAAACTTCTTGCAGTTTTCTCTGGCCATTTGAAAGTAATCATGAGCATCGTCAGGCTCTTGAATACTGCAACAAAAGATTAGACTCAAATTTATAAAATCAAAAGATTTTATAACAAGTACACATGATAACATCTGATTTTAGACTATTCTTTTTTTATGTGAAAATAAAAAACTAGGTTATACTTGTGTACCATTTTACGAAATGTCCAAACTGTAACTCTGAGGGATCTATGTCCACAGAAAAAAAATTTACATTAAAACAAAAGTACTAGTTTAAAAAATACAAATTACATGTTTTTACCCTGTCTCTCTGTAATATAGTACATAGTTGGTTCCGTGTAGTTTCAATGCTAATACTTACGCTTTTAATTCAGCAAGTCTCACTTGTATTCGAGCAAAGCTCTCATTCTGTCCATATTTATCTGGAGGAAGTGCTTCAATCGCTTGACTATACCGACCAATCAGCTTATTTAAAAGCGCATCATTTAGAGGTGGGCTGTTTTTCTCTAGTTTCAGCAAGAAATTCAACCAGTTCTCTGGGGTGTTCTCAACCATCATAATTTGGTTAACAGTTTCTGAGTTATATGAATAAGGAGGAAAAAAAAATCACAACTGAGAAATAGACAAGTTACTTTTCCAAGTTTCTTTTTCCAAGTTACCTACATTTCTCTTAAATGTCTTGCTAATTTCCTGGTCTCACCAGTCCATGCCTTCAGAATCTACAGGGCTTCTTGTGGGTATCAGCTTTCTTGCTGTGAAATTCCATGATACATAGAAAAACCAAGAATAAACTTCAAACTAGGCATGGTGTTGCATACCTTTAATCCCAGCACTGGGGAGACAGAGGCAGGCGGATGTCCATGAGTTTGAAATCAGCCTGGTCTACATAGTAGTTCCAGGACAGCTGGGGCTACATAGAGAGACCCTGTTTCAAAACAAAGAAACCCTGTCTCAAAACAAACAAGCAAACAAAACCACAACAGAAAAGAATAAACATCAGATGATTTTGTCTTTATTTTTATAACAGGGTCAAATAACCCAGGGTGGCCTTCAATTCAATACTTAGCTAAGTGCAGTCTTGAACCTCTAACCTTCTACCTTGACAACCATGTCTGGTTTGCCTAGTATGCGCAGCAATGGGCTAAGTCCTGCAAATATAATTGTCACTTGGTAAAGCACTTATTTAGTGCTGACTAAATCCTCCTACTTAGGATATCTTTTACTAGTTTATTAATAATTTTTATTAGATAAGTACTTTAAATGACGATTTCCTGAAGAAGCTATTACTCCATTTGTAAACAAAATGACCCTTTCTGCTTTCCAGCAGAGCAGCTCCTTCCTGACTTTCGATTGTTCACTCTAAATTTAATCTGGTTGAATACTAACAATGTAGTTTTTTTTTTTCAGTTTTGTTTTGATTTTTTTGTTTTGATTTTGTTTTTCGAGACAGGGTTTCTCTCTGCAGCCCTGGCTGTCCTAGAACTCACTCCGTAGATCAGGCTGGCTTGAAACTCAGAAATATGCCTGCCGCCACCACCACTGACTGGTTTAATTTTTCAGTCTTATTTCTACTAATTTCCTAACAAGTTAGCTTGTGAAATACCTAAAAAATATATTTTGGTATTTGTGATTTGGAGATCAATTTCTCAGGCCTCTGGGAATCAGGCTCACTAGTGAATAGAGTTCTTCCCACCAGTAATACCTTTTTACCTGAGGAAAATTTTAAGCAACCACCAGGAATACAGGTATACAAAATAGGTACACAAATTGAACATTTACTGACAATATCACCGATCAACTTATTTTAAAATAATTCTTTCTTACACATTTTGGCTGAATATCTGAAATTGCAGGGTACAGAGCATCTTTAGTGTTCTTCAGATTTAATCAGTATTTTGAGTCTATTGCTAGTAATGCTGAGAATGTAGGTTACCATAAATATGTAGTACAAATAGAAGAAATATGCTTATGGCAATTTTAGAAATGCTTGGAAATTCTACTCTAATCTCAGGAATAAATTAATTTAACAATATTTGATGAAATTCAAGTCAGAAGGCTTACAATTTTCAAAATTATTGATTCTAACATATTACATTCCAAAGTTAAAATAATTTGATACATCTAGGAATAACAGTAGGAAGATGTTTTTAAAAAGTCTTGTTTTTTATCATTAAACTATTGCTTTTCTCCAAAAGAAAGAACCTCTGTATGTACAGTAAAGACCTGACAATTTATAATATATAATCATCTCAAACCTAAGCCAAGGTCTTGCAGGCACTGAGTGGTGGGACAATGAGCACAGTGCAAAGGACCGCACTGTGTCCTTGGAGTCAAGGCTACTAAGCAGCATGGGTAAGCACAGGAACAAGCACCTTGAGTTTATTACATGTTCGCTTTTGAATTAAATTTCATTAAGCATTCAGACACTGTTGTCAATTTTACCCTGACCCACCATTCATGTAGTTAGTGGGGTTTTAACCCAGTTTAAAAAGACAGAACACAGACCATCTGTTTTTATCTGGCAAATATCCACCATTTAAATGACATCAACCATTTGAAACATAAGTAAGACTTATAAAACTAATGTGTTACACTATAGGGATTTTTGCTCACGTGGTACTTGACAATTTCTATCCGGCTTCTATCTAAACCCTGGATATAACAACAGCTGATCTCATGGAAATGACATTCTAGTGGAGAACAAACAGGTCAATAACATACACAAATACATGAAGTGCAAACTATACAGGAGAAGAAGATGGGAGACAAACCCCTATCTCAGTAGGTAACTATCTGAAACAAGTTATCAGGGAAGGCCATGAAGAGAGACATTAACAAAGACTAGAGAGGTAAAAGTGAACGCCTATTTGGGACAAATAGAGACCTCTAGCTAGAACAGGGGTAAGACAGGAAGGAGGGGTACAGCTACAAGACCAATCGGAAGACACCTCACATTCAGTATTTGGTGTTAAGACTAAATGTAACTTCAGAGGACTGGAGAGGTGGCTTAGCAATTAGGCCTGGGTTCCATTCTCAATGCCTACATGACAGCTCACAACCATCCCCAACTCCAGTTCCAGAGGATCCCATGCCCTCTTCCCACCTCCAAGGGCTCAAACACGAATGTGGTACATACATATACATGCAGGTAAAACATTCACATGTAAAGTAAAATGAATAAATGAATAAAAAAAATTAATTTCAGTAAGATTGATGAGCCTTCCTCAGTTCCTAGCAAAAAAAAAAAAAAAAAAAGGAACAGTCAAAACAAAAAACCCTACCTATGTGTGGATAGCAGGCAAAGTAGCCAACAAAGCTCTCGAGCAGTTAACAGAAGAGTTACGAGAACTAACTACCTGTGAGCACACTAATGAATGATTCTTTTTTGTTGTTTTGAGTTTTTGAGACAGGGTCTTACTGTGTTTACCACACTGGCCACAAACTTGAAATCTTTCTGCTTCAGATTCCCAAGTTTGGCATGTCTATCTGTCTCCAGCAAAAATGTTTGTAATGTTTCCAGACAAAAGAAGTTCAAGTATTAAGTACAGTATAATGGATAGCCATCAATTACTGAGGAAACAGAAACAACTACGTTAGGCAACACAAGGTAGTTAATACTTCTCACCTTTACTTTAGAGTCTCTAAAAGATTTTTAGGTTTTCGTCCGTTTTTTTAAAAAAAGAAAAACTCACCTGTGGAATCAACACAGACTTTGATGGAGTTTAGCTCATCAGTTAGGTCTTCATTTATCTTATTTTTAATATCTCTCACTTTGTTCATGATGGAATCAATTGTCAAATTTCTGACGATTAACTCTTCAGCCTCCATTTCTAAATTGTAACTCGTCTCCTGAATGAAGAAGATAGAACATTAGTTTTGTAAACATAACTAAATGTAATTGTTACTGTTACATTTAGGTGTTAGTGGTGCACCAAAATCAAACCAGGGCAACAAAACCCACAAGGATATAGCTTGTAATTTACCAGAAAAGTTTCAACAAACCAAACACATCTATTCTTCCCAGTATAACATTGAGGTTACACTATGTGAACCTGGAAAATTCTGCCCACATGAAAAAATGCTGGTCATTTTTGTGTTTTGAGTAAGGGTATTAAGTAGCCTAGTATGGCCTTGATCTCTATGCTTCTGCAGCTGGTCTTGCTTCATCTCCCAAGCACTAGGTAGGAACGGAGGGAGATACATACACAGACATACACAGACACACACACAGACACACACACAGACACACACACCACCACCTCCAGCTGATGCCTTTTAAAACTTCATTTCACTGAATATCTTCCTTTCAGTTTTTTTTCTAGAAATTTTTTCCTCTGGGTGGTCAGTAGATTATGAGAGAGAGAGAGAGAGAGAGAGAGAGAGACTGAGACTTGTGTTTTCTTGGATTCTGGAAGTGACAGAGGAGACATAAGGAATCTGTCTGGTAATAAGTTGTCCCTTTGGTCGCCTATTCTGCCAGCGTAAATATTGACATTGAGAGCATCATGCATCCTCCTACTGATAACAGATTTTCAGCAGTTTGTCCCTGACAAAACCATGATTTGTGCTTTTATCATTCTAATGCAAGGATCAAGGTACTGTCACAGTTCTTGAGCACACGTTTTGGTCATCTGCATGATGGTGTTAACCACTGGTCAACAGTCTGCAGTCTTTCTCTCTGTCACTCTGTCTGCGATTCTCTACAACACTCAAGGTCATAGCCACCGTGGGGTGTTACAATAAAAGGGGGCCAAAAGGAGGGCAGCAAGGGGTTCTCCACCTCCTCCCAGCTGACAGCCACCATGGGGGCAGGTCCTGAGAATTGCACAACCAGTCCTGGCCTGCATCGCACACCCGCGGGCTTCTGGGCCCTGCTCCCCGTCCACCAGCCTGGGCTCACTGGCCGTATCTGCCCGCCTGGCCCAGGTCCCCTGCGTCTACTCGCCGCCGCCCTCGCCACCCAGCAGCCTCTCGCCGGCTGCAGCCTCTCTGGAACGCCGGCTCTGCTGTACCCACCTCAGAAAGCCAAGCTGCAGACAAAACAGCGGTACCCCAACACCTCTCCGGAAACACGTTTGAATTTCCCCGCTGCCTTCGCCACCTCCTCCCATTGGCTACGGCTCGTCACGCGGCAGCGTCGGTCGTGATTGGATCCTTGAGCCGCGCCGCTTCCTGCGTTGACGTTGGACGCGCCTACCTCTAGCGGCCCGGGGAATTGCCCACGCCTGGAGCCACTCTCCTGCTGGCCTTCGCTGGTGCGGCCAGGGGTCAGGCCCTTTTTATTTGGTGCTCCCCCGCTGAACCTTCCACCACCCTCCAGGGAGCCCTGGCATTGTCTTCAACCCAAGACCCGCCCTTTCCTTTGTTAGGATTCCGGTCCCCTCCCTGTCGGGACTTCCCTGTCGGGACTTCCCTGCCTGAGCTCCTCTCTCCGAACCCCACCCCCGTGATTCTGTCTCAGTTATGATCTCAGCTACTCTTAGGAGAAAAGCTTCTCTAGGCTTCCTCACTGGTACCTACCTCCCCTAGTGTGGTCCCGGGGAACGGTTTCATGTGCGGAAAAAGACAAGGGCAGATTCTGTGGTCTTGTTTTGGTTTGCTCTTTATGCTTGGTTTTGCTTTGTGTAAGAAGCTACAGTTGAAGCCAGAACTCTCCATCTTCAATCAATAAGAGATGCCCTCTGTCACAAATTGCTACCAAAATCCCAAATCCGTGGATACTTTAGGTCTTTAAATAAAGAGGCATTGTCTTTACACACAACCTATGCTCTATTCTTGTATACATTTATTTTCTTTTGGTGGGGGAGGGGAGCTTGCTTGATTTTGTTTTCGAGGCAGGGTCTCACTGTGTGTATATCCATTGCTGCCATAGAACTGACTCCCCTTGTAGAAAAGGCTGGGATTAAAGGCATGTGCTTTATTTTCCAGCGTCCTGAATACTTTAAAGTTGATCGCCTATAAATCATTTGTAATACCCAATTCAATACAGATATGATATAGATGTTATACAGTTTTCCTTAAAAAATATTGACAAGTTGTTCAATACAGACACAAGAAACATTTTTTTTTCCGTCTGCGCTTGGTTAAATCCGTGAATGTAGAACCCACAAAGAGAGGTTTAATGCAAAGTTAGCCTTTTTGGTCAAGCACAAAAGCTGAAAAGCAAACCTTAAAAAGAACAGGCTATCTTCATGAAATTTAACTATAGACTAGAACACAGCTCAGTAATATTTATAGAAATACAAGGAAACTTAACAAGGTCGTCTTTACACTCTTATCTAATTGAAAAAAAAAATCACCAGACTTTGAAAACAAGAAAATGTAACTGTTAAGAGGAGGGAAAGGGGTCATTTAAAACATACGAGAAATAACACAAGATGGCATATTTGGCTAATTAGGACATTAAAATAGGAATTTGTGCTGTATTTTATGCATTCCAAAAACTAAGAGGGAAGTCTATAAACATGTTAAAGAGAAATTCAGAGTATGTGAGAAAAACCAAAATAGATGCATAGAAATGGATTGTGGAAGGTATAAAATAGAAATTACATTATGTGGTGTGAGCAGTCAATTTATTGGGAAAAGAAAAAAAATCACTAGGCTTGAAAACACAATTTTAAAACTATATGAAGGGCTGGAGAGATGGGTCAGCAGTTAAAAGCACTTCTTGCTTTTTTGAAAGCCCTACATCAGGTGCTCACAATCTCTGGTAACTCCAGCTCCAGCAGGAATCTGATGCATCTGAGATACCCATGCTTAGGTGCATTTATCACAGATGCACACACACAAACACAACTACAAATAATAAAAAAGTCCTTATTTCAGAATATGTAAAATTAAAGAGAGATAAAAGTGAACAAAAGCATTGGCAGATTGTGAAACAAAGTGTCTAATGTACATACAACTGGAATTCCTAAAAGAAATGAGGAAAAAGTGGAAAAAACTGGGCAGTTTGTTCAACTGTGATCAAAACTACAAACCACCACCAACAACAACAGACTGAACGACATGGAAAATACCTCCAAAATTTATGAGTATTATAGGGACAGGATTAAATCATTTAAAACTGGTTATGAAGAGAAAAGTCGCTAAAACAGCTGAAGGATAAAAGGCAGTTAGTTACCCATAGGAAGACAACCATGAAGATGACAGCAGACTTCCTGTCAGAAATGATACAAAATGCAAAACCTATTTCAGAATACTATAAAGAAAAAAAAAAGGCAGCCCAGGCAAATTCTACATCCACCAAAAGTAGTATTCCTAATGAAGGAAAAATGAAAAGATGAAAAGATAGGAACCAACCACAGCTCCCAGGGTCTAAACCACCAGCCTGGGAGCACTTAGGGAGGGATCCATGGCTTCAGCTGAATACGTAAGAGGAGGGCCCTGCTGGGCATAGGTGGAAGAAGAGATCCTTGACCTCATGAAGGCTGGACGCCCCAGGGGGCGGGAATTTGAGAGTGGGGAGGTGGGAGTGGGGGGGGGTAGGTAGGGGTTACATCCGCAGAGAAGCAGGAGGAGGGGTGAGGGGATAGGGGGTTCCTGGGTGGGTGGGGGATGGGGTAAGGGGACAACATATGAAATGTAAATAAAACATCCAATAAAAAAAAAAAGATAGGAAGGATGATGTATCACTGGTAGGACTAGAATACAAGATACAGTTAAGAAAGTTCTTCTGATAGAGTAATTCTGAATCGACGGTGAGTATACACACTGAAATAATGTATGTGATACAAAACATAATCTATAGTGTTATTAAAAGCCTAAAGAAATCACTAAAAACAAAAGAAAAATGACAAACAAGTAAAAACTAACAAGCAAACAAAAAAAGTAATTACTACTGATGAGCAAAAGAGTGGAAATGAAAAACAGGTAATCAGTGCAAAAATGGATTCAAAATGGAAGCACAAACACAGGAAAACACATTAGCAAAACAGTAGATCGAAATCCAGCTCTACCAGTAATTTCATTAAATGTATATAATCAAAAATAATCTCAGAAAAAAGCAGGTCCCAATTCACTACCTACAAGAAACCTAAGCTGGAGATTCTTGTTGTTTTGTTTTATTTTGTTGTGTTTTGAAATGGCTGTCTCTCTCTGTTTGTTTCAAACCCCTGAGCTGAAGCGATCCTCCTATACCAGCTTCTGTAGTAGCTGGAACTAGTAACCCAGCTATCTGGTTTAAATATAAAGACACAAATCAGATTTTAAAAAATGAAAGAATGAAAAGAAGGATATCATGCTGAACTGATGAAACGCTACAGCCAAGAAGCTTAACCGGGCAGAGGGTCTCAAAGCCCTCTTACTAGTCTTAAACGGACTTAGTAGTTCGTCTTCTTGAGTCAATGGCCTGTGATCTTTGATTGAGGACTGGACAGTGTCCTCACACACGGATCTGGAGGTGAAGGTCCGTATATGGCTTTGAGAGCAAATGCTCAGAAGGCTACCTGCAGATTCTGTGTCACAAACCTTCATTTAGTTATAAAACAAACAGACATCATTCTCTGACAGATACAAGTCCTTTTTTTAAAGCACATTTCATTTTGCAAAGGCAGGCCCAGACAGCTCCAAGCAGCTAACAGCTGAGATGTCCCTGCCAAAACTTCAGAATGGAGAAATGGGGTGTAATTTGAATAATCAATCTGCCTTGTATTGGGGCGTGTTGATTGCCCAGCATCACCTACGTACTCTGCATTTTTCCTAGACCCTGGCAGTTTATCTGGAGAGAACTGAAAGTAAAACAAAAAAGAGAAAGGAAAATAACTGTTAAGCAGGGAGACCATGTCCCTTTCTGGATTTCTTAAAATGTCGAACATTTGAGTGAACCAGACAGAATTGCATCTTCACAGTAAGAGTATGGACTCGTCATCTTTGTTGCCAGAACAGAATACCAGAGAATGTGTGTGGCGTGGTTCCCCTGGTTGCACAAGGTATTTCTATTGCTGTTTGTTTCCTGTGTGAGGGCAGAGACAAATCATCTGTGGTAGCTCTTCCTATAAGGACACTAATCCTCTTGGATCAGAACTCCACCCTTATGACTCCATTCCATCTTAATTACCTCTTTATAGGCCTTACTGCTAAATGTAATCACATCGTGGATGATGTTTTGGAAAGACATAATTCAGTCCAGAAGGAATTATGTCTACGGAGAATGGAAGAATTAGCCTAGTGTTTGCAAGCAGACTGTCCCTCAGTAATATTTATTACTTTGAAATTTGTTCGCATTGCTGGGAATCAAATCCCAGGGCCTTGTGTATGCTAAGCAAGAGCTCTACCATTGAGCCGAGTGCCATCCCTACAGGAAGGATTGTTAGTCACTTTGCCTATTACTGTGACAAAAATCCTAGATAGAAACGATTTAAGGAAGAGTTTACTTTTGGCTCACAATTACAGGGCAGGGAAGTCAGAGCAACAGGGATTTGAGGCAGCTGGTCTGACCACACCCATTTTCAGGAAGCTGAGTGAGATACTAGTGCAACCTTCTTTGTTCCATCCATTCAGTCCAGGAGCCCAGCCCATAGAATGGTGCCACCTACATTTGGGTTGTCTCACCTCGACCAAACCAATCTAGAATCTCCCTCAAAGCATTCTTGAAGCTTGTCTCCTAGGTGATTCTAGATTCTGACAAATTGGTGATTATTAATCACCACAAGAGTAACATTTAGCATTTAATGGATATGTGCAACAAAGACATACTGGAGGATACGAGGCTGTGGAACAATTAATAAAGCAACGCCAAACAATGCAAAATGCCTTCTGCTTCTGTTTTTAATGACATTTTCTTTCCTTTCCTTTCCTTTCCTTTCCTTTCCTTTCCTTTCCTTTCCTTTCCTTTCCTTTCCTTTCCTTTCCTTTCCTTTCCTTTCCTTCCTTTCCTTTCCTTTCCTTTCCTTTCCTTTCCTTTCCTTCCTTCCTTCCTTCCTTCCTTCCTTCCTTCCTTCCTTTCTTTCTTTCTTTCTTTCTTTCTTTCTTTTTCTCTTTTTTAAGACTTTACTTATGTATGTGAGTACACTGTCGCTGTCTTCAGACACACCAGAAGAGGGAATTGGATCCAATTACTTATGGTTGTGAGCCACCATGTGGTTGCTGGAAATTGAACTCAGGACCTC